TTGTGTTTGAAGCTAGCATGCTAACAGGATGCTAAACAGGAGGCCGCGCTTCTCATTATGAGGAAGCAGCTTTACCTTTGTTCGCCATCTATCTAATGCATTTCAATATTACTTTAAACACATAATGGATACACCAAACCAGCTATTTTACCCATTAAAGTTTAATAAACTGTGTTGTGAAGCCGTGCAGGGGCATGCGAGGCTTATATTTAATGTAGTTTCTGCAACTTTGACAACCACGTTAACGTAAGCGAAGGTGACGTTATTGTTCACTAACATCATGATATAATTGAAGCATCAAAGGCTAAAACACAGCTTTTCGGGAACTGAAAGTATGTTTCTATATATAATCATTGTGTAATTGTTCCATAACAGCAGCCAGATTCAATCAGAATAAAGTGTATTATTGGGTTGTCACTTGCAATGATTTTGGATTATCGCATAAAATAAATGTAAGAGAAAATGAAATTCAAATTATGTTCAAAAATAAAATGTCCCAAAACATAAGTAATAATGTAATGACATAACAATAAACATATGAAATTAATATTGTGAAAAGATGTGTAAGTATTTGTAAAATGTAAAAACTTATAGTATATCTGAAATAAAGTAAGAACTGTTCAATTTATGGAATTGTGTAATGGTTTACATTGTGAAGTTAAAGCACAACCCTGTGTGCCTTCATTAAGTTTTGTTAATAATATTCTGGTACGACTTTATGGTGATTTTGAAGCCCATAGTTTGTGATGTTGCTTAGAAGTGTTATGCTGAGCAACTTTCTCCCAAAATGTTGTCCAACCCATTTATGTTAGTGCAGGAAGACTAGGTATTAGCTTGTTGTACAGATAAGTTAGACACTAAAGACAATAAAGTAAGACACTTTAGCACAGAAAAGACATATACATATTTTAGAAGTGTCACTGTGACAGTTTGTCTACCAGAGTTTTTTACTCTCAAATTGATAGTGACCTCAAAATCTATTGTTCAGGCTTTATAGAAACACCTCTCAGTGGATACACAACGATTCAACAACTTAAAGCAAGCTAATACTTAGCTGTAACATTCAGTATTGCTCAAACTCAAAAAAAGAATTATCCGGAATTGTTTACTGATTGACTTCCCGTTTGTCAGTTAGTTGGAAAGGAAAAGTGGAACTGGAAAAGCAGGATATGACTGAACATTGAATTTGAGCCACACCTATATTTTTTGCAGAAGCGTCAAATGGTATTCTCTCCTTCACCGTAATGTTATTAAGTGACTGTTGATGTGCACTTAAGAAATTAGATTCTAATTTGTTTCTTTCCTTTCCACAGCCATGCGAAGTCTGAAGCTGATAACTGCGACCGACACACAGTATTCAGCAACTGTGCTGAAATCGATGAACGAGCAGCGAAACCATGGATTATTTTGTGATGTCACCATTATCATACAGGACAAGAAGTTCAGGGCTCACAAAACAATCCTGTCTGCCTCCAGTACGTACTTCCACCAGCTCTTCAGTGTCGCTGGACAAGTGATCGAGTTAAATTTCATCAAAGCGGAAATCTTTGAGCAGATTCTCAATTACATTTACAGCTCCAAGATTGTCCGTGTCCGCTCCGACATGCTGGAGGATCTCATCAGTGCTGGACAAATTCTGGGAGTCAAGTTCATTGCAAACTTGGGATCCCCTTTATCACAAGTTAAGGGTCTTCCTGGTTTGTCTAAGGAGACGGGGAGCAAGAGTGACACTCCTCCAGAGGTGATGCCCGTCATCTCAGAGTCTTTCTCCATATCTTCAGAGGAATTCAACCAGGCGAGCAAGTCAGCGGGTAACGACGAGGACTCGGACGGAGATGTTATCTTTGTCTCACAAACGGATGCTCAAACCAGAGCAGCCAATCAGACAGCCAACTCAGAGGTTATTGATTTGGAAGCAGCAGATTTAGGAAAAGCAGCAGATGCAGGAAAAGCAGCATCAACGCAAAATGAGGAATCAAATCAGGCTGTTGCAAAACTGAAAGAGAAAGCCAGAGCCCCCGTTAACATCATCGCTGCAAAGCCTCTCAGCATCAGTTGTCCACCACCCGTTATTCCCATCAGCAGCCCTCTGCGCAGTCCAGACAGCAGCTCCAACAGCAGCTCCGCCAGTACCTCCACCAATAGCTCCACCAACAACTCCACCAACAGCTCCAAAAGCTCATCCTCTCCTGCCAGACTTTTCTCAGGAAGTGTTCCCACAACGCCCGCCAGGTCAAAAGTCACCCCTGAGCACATGAGTGCCTCCCAGTCCTCTGAAAGCAGTGAAATAATAGGCGTCCAAAGGAAGCAAGTTTCTGCCTCGTCACAGCAAGGGGATTTCAAAATAAAGATCATAGACGTGTCTGATGGCCAGTCAAATCAAACCAACAGCTCCAAATCAGCTTTAGTCGCAAAAAAGACAGTCACGCTCAACACAGCCACGGAGATCGATTCAATTTCGTCCGGGTGTAAAGTCTACGCCAATATTGGAGAAAATACTTACGACATTGTCCCAGTGAAGGAGGATCCAGGTGAAGGAGGCTCTAAAGTTAATAGAGGGAAGAGAGCATTAATGGCAACACCTTTGAAAACCTTTGATGAAATACCCCTTTCACCAAAGTCCGGCCCCAACAAGAAGAAGTTCAAGACAGAGCTGGAGGATCACTACGAGCTGATCATGGACGGGAAGACTTTTTTCGTCTGCATCGTCTGCAAGCGGCCCTACGTGTGTCTGACGAGTCTGCGCCGTCACTTCAACACTCACTCGTGGGAAAAGAAGTACCCATGCCACTACTGCAACAAGGTGTTTGCACTGGCCGAGTACAGAACTAAACATGAAATCCACCACACAGGAGAGCGCAGGTACCAGTGCCTGATGTGCAACGACATGTTCGTGAACTACCAGTTACTGTCCACACACTGCAAGCATGCGCACAACCAGGATCCCAGTGGCAGGAAGGAGAAAGACGAGACGGACAACAACTTGTACCGCCTCCTGCCGTGTAAGACGGTGCAGATGAAGTCGTACTCGTGGAGTAACGACGGCCAGGAAGGAGTCCCGGTTATATCGGAGGACGGCAGCGTGCATCACATCACTAGCGCCGGTGAGGACGTGCACTCCTCCACTCAGACCAGGATGTTGAACTGGGACGACATCTTTATCGAGCCCGACAGTCGCATGCCGCCCGATGCTCACGCCCACCGGGGCTCAGCCGTGAACTCTCCTCCACCGGGAGCCACGGAGTTTGACTTTGTTATACCAGAGAGCTACTGAGCAACCCCCGCTGCTCCATTACATGTGCCTTTTTAAAGGGTACCCCATAACCTTTTTCCAGGTCAACAATATTAATCTGTAATGCTCAATAGTATCGGAATAATCTACGGTCACATTAGCCTTTCCTTTGAATTAATTGTGTGGTTAAATATAGTACTAATGATGCTAATACATGTTAGAATAATGTGCTGCGCAGAGACTGATCTGTGCATCTGCCAGAGCCAGCTGGAGATTTCTTGAATTTGTCCCTCTTGTTGAAGTGAAAAGGAGACGAAGCGAGTAGTTTTAGGACGGAAAAGCAATGTGACCAAATCTTTACTCCTGTTTCTCTGCCTTTGTAATCTGTCTTTTTTTATCATTAGAAATAATGATAGTGGTTCGCACGCTGTAAAATCACAACGACAATAGTTTATATGGATGCTAACATTTTCATGCAGGATTCAAAAGTTGCCCCAGAAATGAAGGCATTACACACTAGCTGCAATAAAAGCATTCTCTTATTACAGTGATGTTTTTTTTTAACCTTTGGGTCATACTATTCTAGATCAGTTTCCGACATTAGGCACCCCACTGAGCTCCATTTCATAAAATATAAATTCTGTTTTTACCTATTTAAATATATGAAACCTAAATCATGTAGTGTGTAACCAGGATTTTCAAAGGATGCATAAATGCTCTTTAGCGGTTTCAACACATTTTTGTAAAGTACAGGATGTGACCCGTAATGAAATAAAACAAGGCTGCTCAAATGTTAAAACCCTCATCAACTGATGCATTAACCATGAGTTTTAAATGGACATTTAACATCACTCCTTATTCCAATATGGGAATAATGCAAAGAGAAATGATTATTAGTTTTTCATTGTGATTGTTGGCAATCCCACTTGTGGATATTGTGGCAGGGAAGTTATACAATGATCATTTAATTTAAACGCAATTTGGACATTTCCATTGAACACCCGTTTTATTTTGATACACCTGTACATTTTTATTTCCAATTCCTGTCCTTCCTTGTTTTTTTATGCTATTATCTGCCGTGTCCACCGTGTAGGCGACAGATTTTGCAAACAAATGTGGTTGATATTATTTAATCCAGACATAAAGCACTTAGTGTTGAATCAAGCAGATTATTTTTTCACATTTGGACTTTTTAACTTTTTTTCCCCATTGTGTCAAAATGTAGTGATGAGTAGTGCTAACAATTAAATATATCTATTCATGTCATTCAATAAAATCATGCAGGACTTTTTTAATTAACACATTAACATTGGCGTTTGATGTACAGTGCATTTGTGTTCATGTCTTTTTCTTTCATTTTAAAATACTGTCTCAGACGTATCTTTTAGGTTCATAGTTGTAGATAAAATGAAATAGATATTAAACACTCAGTTCTGTTGGCATTGTACAAAATGTCCCTTTTCTGTCAATTAGCAACAAGGGGTTTCCTGATGATAAATAAATTATTCTTTTACTATTTTCACTTAATTGTCTTGCACTACGTAAGCATATAAACATCTGCTATACGGTTGTCATTGTGATGTACAAAATGAAAATCATAGAAACTGTCACTTTGTCTTTGTCAAAATGCTGAGAGTAAAATATATCACGTGTCACACATGATACAAAAACATATCTATGAAGCTCCAGAAGATGTTGGAAGAGTTAAGAGCAAATGCTCAAGGAGAAATAGTGCAGAATCTTAAATATTCCTTCTTTGTTATTAATTATGTCAACTCCCTGTGTTTTTAAATGTTTCTAAATCTTCCATTGTCTGGATTATATCAAAGATTGAAAACATTTTTAGATTTTCAATGTGTTAGACTTAAGGAAATGGATGGACTTTCCCAAAACTTGACTAGTCCCTGTTGAAAAAGTATGAACTTCTCAAACCTAATGCCAGTTACACCCTTTTCAATTTTACAATGTAATACAATTATCTAGAGAAGTCTACAGCCATGCTACTGGCTCAGAGGTTGCACTCATTAACAAACATCCATCATTTAGCATGCTATCAATGGCTGTGTTAGCTCATACAAATAGGTGTCAGGCATTTGGTCATAAAACAAGGTTTGCAACAAAAAAAATAAAATCAACTTGATGGTGATATGCGGAAAGCTGAACTATCACCAATTTATCAAAAGTTTTAAGATCAGAAAATGACATTAATGGCTGCATCAAGTTGTCATGGCAAACCATCAAACATCATGGTTACACAAGAGGAAAGTTGGGATGACTGAAGTCAACAGGATTCACCCTCGGTGAACTCACTGCACTATGGTTTATCTTATTGAAGTTTATATGTTTGGTAAAGACTAAAGTGGTGAAGCAACCGTGCATACAGTTTTGCTAAAAAGTAAAACACACCATTTCAATTACACAAAACATTTTTACTGGCAAGACGAAAAGGAACTGACAATCAGCCCCTGAGAGAGTGTAGTTTAAATTATAAAAAGCAGTGATAACAGCTGACGGAGACCTGTCTCATTGACATGGACTAAGTTTACTGTCCTTCACTCTTCCTCAGAGAACACCAGTCCTTTGACCCTTCATGATCTCCCCTCATGTCAGTGAATCCAGCACCGACTGTTCCCGCTCGGCCTGCCTCGTGTTTATTCCTGACAGAGACTATACATTTGAACTCAGATGTGATATCACAACTACTTATATAGCGCAAGATAATATACGCTTACCTGCTTTGCAGCTTATCGTGAAAATAGAATAAATAGTTTGGAGTGTAACTGACCGCCCTACTGCAGAATAGCTTATTTCTTCATCGTGTTGCTCTGCGAGCACATGGTTCAAAAGTTGTTTTTTTAACAAACTGAAGAGTTGATCATCTGTTTGTATAGCTAAACTGCTGGAGAGCATCTGAGTATCATACTGCTGTACATTCATAATGAGCATTGTAATTCCTTCATTACTGCTAACATTGCCTAATTAATCGCTAAAGAAGAAACTGCCTCGGCCTACTACAGTTTTGAATTCTCTAGCTGATTCATATTCTGGGGGGACATCAAAAGCATTCATGTATCGGGTTTGATCTTGTAGCTGTCATCTCCTTACGTTATCATCGGTGCCACTTGAGGCAGGAAGCATTTACAATATGTCCTGAAGAGAGGTGAACTTTGACCTAGTACAGAATAAGTCCAGAGACCCAGAGCTGCAGCGCTGGAAGCCCGTTTGCATTAAGGCAGATAGATGTGTAAACAGTCCTTGCTGTGGACCGGTGGTCTCTCTCTTGATGTGTGAGTGGAGGCAGGGGCGACAAACACTCCTGGTGTCGGGCTGAACTCAAGGTGAGTTCCCTCTGTGGCCTTCCTCCTCTTCCTCACCACCTTTCCTCCAACACTCATTGTGAGGAAAAGCCCAGAGGAAATGTGCATTCACGCCACTCAATCAGCATCTGAAAAACACCCGCTAACGTTCCAGGTGCCTTCTTTCTGCTGGATGTGTGTTACGGGCTGTAGGGTGGAGGCTTCTCGTCGGGGTGGGTGTGAGGAGGAGAGTATCGTGGAGGGACCATGGTGGGCCACAGGTGGCTGGCCCCCGACTGGGAGTCATCCGACAGGGTGGAGGAGTCGGGGAACAGGTAGGAGCCCTGCAGGAAGGACATTTATTAGAATTAACTGTTTCAGTTTCCATTTTTACATTCAAAGCTCTTTTTTCGTTTTTTTTAAGGATGCACAGAATAACGGTTGTTTGTAGGTTTCCTTAATTAAAAAACTGAAGTTTGACAGGGTTGGGGGGGCTCTGCTGGGGCCAGTTATTGAATGAGAGGGGCAAATGTAATGCTGGACAACGGAGACAAAGACAGTGGTCAAGATTTAAACTAGTAGTATAAAGTTATCGCGCACAAAGGAAGTATTATTGTTTGTCAATGACTGAGTTGCAATTTTTGTTTAGTTACTTAATTTACCATTATTACTAATGCAGTTGGGGTAATAAACACTTTTTATTTTTATTTCTTTGTTGGTATTTGTTTTAGTAACAGAATTTGTTTCAGTAACTTAGTTTTAATTTATTTAATTACATAACAACAACAAAAAACTTCCTTTTTCTTAGGCCCAGGCTGCAACACTATTACAAATTGCATTATCATAGATTTGTTATTTTGCAGGGGGGCCACAGGGGGGTCAAAGCACAGTGTTACAGGACCACTGGACCCCCCCCCCCCCCCAGAACCACCCAGGTTGATGAAGACCAGCAGTGCAGGTCTGTAGCTGTACCTGCAGGTCGTAGGCTGTGTACGGCGGCAGGCAGGGGGCAGTGTTGTAGTACGAGGTGAGGGAGGTGGTGGAGGGAGGAGGCTGAGGGGGGGCTGGAGCTGTGACGGCTTCAGGCTCAGATGTAGACTCTGAGGCAGGAGCCGGAGTCTGACAAGGACATGAAGAGTATTGATCAGTTTCCATTAATTCAAACACCAGAGGATTACAAAACAAAAACCCATTAGAACAAACACTTAAAGTAGCCCAGTTGTTCATGGTCAAATCTCAAATATAATGCTGCATTCAATGTGCACCTTGGATGGTCCGGTTTCTCAGAGTTGTTCTACCGACGTTGGTGTGTTTATGAGCTTTTAGTTTTAATGTGGAAGAACATGTTTTGTTTTTTTGTCTCAGACTTGTTGCTGCACCAGTACATTCCCTAAAACCATTAAACTGTTTCTTCACATTACATCTAGATACTTGGACAGCAACAGACCGCTACAACCTAAAAACATGTTCCAAATGACATATAAGCAAAAATAATTGATATGCAGTGCAATACGGGAATTCATATTAACTTTATGAAGGGGGCTTTCACATGAATTTTGCGACACATTTTATTCTGACACCACATGAATGCAGCACATGTACCCACCATGTCTTTGAAGCCTCCCAGCACTGCAGCAGTGATGATGCCCAGAAAGAGCGCCACGATGTTGAGGATCGTAGCGGACCACAGCAGGTGATAGAGGTGCACCACGTCCTGGCAGCTCTTCACATCCGTGTACTCATGGTAGCCTCCAATGAGCTCCACTCGGCTAGCCCAGTGGGCGGAACAGAGAGGGGGCATACAGTCAAGCCACACAAGTCACAGAGAAAGTGTTATGGCTTGTTGTGTTCAGGGCAAGATGAAAGACAAGTAGGTTTTGATTTATAGAAACAAATGAGTCTATGAGAGCTAAGGACAGAAGACATGGTGGGTGTTTAAGAGTGGGAAGATATATGATTTTATCATTATCGTAATAAAAAACCCTCACATTACTCTGACTGTAATGGATTTTAATATTGAGATAGTTGTGATTATTCTCATGATTTATTGAAAAAGCTGTCAAGATCACTATTATAGTAGAGAAGTGAAAAAGAGCCCGCTTTATAAAACAGGAAATATGTAAAAAGGAATAGACTCTAATAATGTTGCTGTTTATTCATGCAAAGAAACCTTACGATTCCTTTATTCTTAATTAGTTTTTTACTAAAAACAGATATCCACTTAACAAGTTATTCTATCTGTGATGCAATAATAATATATGCTTCCTTACTCAATGTAATAAGAGGATGATCATTTTGTGAAAAGCATATATTTTGACAACAATAATCATGACATTAAATGTTTATATGGTTTCATGCTTAGCTTTGTCAGACGCAAAACATGACATGCAGGGGAAATGGGATCCTAAACACATATTACATAAGTAAGTCACGTCACTGACACACTACACAGTTACTCCAATCACGTGTCGAGAAAATGAAAAACATGAGTTGATAATTAATGGCCAATATGGTTCTAGAAAAAAAGGGACCTACTTCCAAATCATGGATGATTTCCTAAACTTTTTCAATACATCTTTATTCTGAAGTCCCATAAGAGGATGTTCTCTGAAACAAAGGTTGAAAGGGAAGAAACATATACTTGTTCTGATACAATCAACGTTGCAGTGCAAACGAATCTCCCACAAAAATGGCACATCAGCACACGTCAAAAATCCAAACAGTCAAAGCAACACAGCAAAGTGAGGAGCCAGTGATGGAGAGGCTGTTGGGTGTACTCACTTCCCGCAGTTGTAGAGGTCGCAGCAGTAACAGGTGTTGCCCTTCACATGCAGGTTACAGGGGGAGCGTGAGGAGGTCTGACAGGGCACCTGAGGGTCAAAAGTTAATTCAAATTATTAGTCTTTTCACTTAAGGTTGACTTATGACACTTAATTCCCCACACACACTGAGGATGCATTCGATTTCTGTAAATAGAAAGTGAAATATTTGTCTTACGTCTCGTTCAGAGGAAGTCTCACTGGAGTGAAACTCACAGCGGCCGGCGTACAGCGGCCTGAGGTCCTGTAAGGCAAGGCAAGGCAAGGCAAGTTTATTTATATAGCACCTTTCAACACAAGGCAATTCAAAGTGCTTTACAAAAATGGAAGACATTATGAAAATGGCATTTAAAATCAGTCATTAAAAAGAAAAGATAATAAAATAAACATTGTAGTACACACTGTAGTACAATAAACAATATTCTTTAGATTTCACTGCACAATTCATCACTGGTACAAACCCTATATACAGTCTATGATACAAATGCATACTAAAGCAAAATTAACAATGTAGATAAATGCAAGAAATAGAGAGATTTTTTTTTGAATGTATTGCTCTGAGAGCATCACATCATATTCATTGCAACACTGGGCCTCTTTGCAGCTCAGTTTACAAACAAATGTCTGAAAATAAATATCCAATTTTCCATTTCACTGACGTCACTGGCAAATAAAAAACCTCCCGATCCCCCTATTCGAAAAGCCATAACTTATTTTAACATAATTGTTTCAAGAGTGCATTAGTGGTTATTTATTGTTTCGAGTTCTTGCGTCATGGAGAGTAATATCTCTCAACCACAAAATATATTTCCCTTGCTAAGAAGGGTGCAGCCTCTCCTACAGACTGGCCATATGTGAGCAATGCCCTCGTTTGAATCTATGTGTAATGCAGACAGAGTATATTAAGCTTCAATGGGGATGGCATTGATTAGTCGGACAGTGAGTGTTATCCATATTCATAATTTATCAGTTTGGTTAAATAAGAAGAAGCTTCAGTGATACTTACAATGTGCCTGGCAGCAAACACTCCGTCAACAATAGCACAGCAGAAGGCGGCCACTACCCCGAAACTGATGAAGACAATAGACGCCACTAACTGTGGAAGAAAACAGCAGCTCTTCATCACTCTTCATCACAAGGTTATGATTCTCTTTGTCACAGAAGACTATAAACTCAATTTTAGGCACTGCGGCTATTGATATTGTTTGGTCATGAAAATGTCAGAAAACATTCCAATCCCAGCTTCAAGTCCAATGTGATGTCTTTAAATGTTTCGTTAAGTCATTTCAAAACTCAAAAGGTATGCAGGCCAATAAGATATAATAGAGAAAAGCTGAAAATCTCCATTTATAAGAAGCTCAAAGCAGCATTACAGCCCTTTTTACATGAACAATGACTCAACCAAATGAACAGTTATTGAAATATTTGGCAATTTTCTTTTGTCTTTTTCGTTGGAGCTCTATCAGGCACCACTTTGATTTTGTAATTGCTTCTACTCGCCACTTTTCTATCGGATTCCCTTCCAACAGTAACCTGTATCATATTGCCCATGTGCTGCTCTCTGAGTATGAATAGCTCTGAATGGGATGGGGTGGGGGGGTTTTGGGGGGGGGGGCTGTTAGAGAGGACAACAGTGACGGAGTGCTGAGCTGGTCACCTAGCTGCAGCAGTAGTGTTAGAGCCTGGCACGCTGCCCGGCTCTTAAAAGGAACTCCAAACACTTATTTCCCCGCTTTCTCCCCATCCGCCTAACTCTCTCCTTTCACTCCTCAATGAAAGCGGTATGTATTCACTTACACATTAGCCCACCCTCTCTGAAGCTGACACACAACATCCAACACCTCGAGGTAACCGGGTTGTTCGCCGGCGCCAAGGTTTCTGTGACGCTCACATGAATGCATTCAGTGGCAAATGATTTAGAAAGAGACATTTGTGATGGGATAAAGGTTTGTGGGTGTTTTTTTTCTTAGCTTCTCCCTCTATCTTGTCATTCATCAACACACTTTTGTAGTCAGAGTCAGAATAGTTTTAGCCTTTTTAATTGAAAGAATTTCTGTTATTTTGTTCTGTGCTTTTCTTACTGGATTGAATTTAAGCGGTATCAGGCATTTAGCAACATTTGAATTAAAGTCAGTTAAATTTGATCAAACTCACCCGGGATGATAAAGCAATACTCCCTATAGATGTGTTGAATAATTTAACCTTACCTTACTATAATGTTTAATTTGAAACCTAAAATACAGATAAATGTCCATCACTATACTATTAATCAGAGAGTGTTATATACAACAGTCTAAAAGCATTTCATTTTACTATGATACAAAATGAAGAAAACCAGTACATATTGACACTTGAGAGGGTGTGAGCAGTGAATGTCTGGGATTTGTCCTTAAAAAATTATAAATAGATTACCAAAATAGTTTTACTTACTCAACATTTTAGCTCTGCAACAACTGGAATAATCTAAAAACCAATTGGCTATACTACCCCGACCCATAAACTATTTCAACACATTATATTCTGTATAGTAAAATGCGATAAGGAATAACCAGTGGGCAGTGGGCAGTGTGGTGTAAGGTGTCGTAGCCGGGTCAGTTGTGGGACTCCAGCCATCTGAACTCTGCTGCGTTACGGTAAAGGTGTCGCGGTACAAACTCATCATTCATTTGAGCCCTGACAGTCCCCACCGCACACCTCCCACCTGCTCCCCTCATCTGCAGTTTCCTTCCCCACATTCCTGTATGGGCATCTGTCCTCCTCAGCTTACACCCTGTAGCTATTTCTGTCTGCATCTCCCTTGAAGCCCAGGCTCCGCTACGCAAGCCGCCTCAGGCCAAGAGGGACTCACAGCCTCTCTGTCTGTCACCCCAATAACAACATAATCAGGTCGTTGGGTAATTGGGACTGAGACGCAGTTTAATGATAGTTTTCTGTAACAGTCCAGACAAGGAAAAGGTAATATAAGTCCTCTTACCATCTGCCTCTTGTTGTCTATCAAATGAGCGCCGATGATTCCCAGAAAAGAGCCAAAGCCCAGCTGAAAAACAGTGAAAAAAGCTAAGTTTATTGATCAATCGATCTGGATTTATACAGATATATATGTAGATACAATAAACAACAATACAAAATCATTCATTCTTCAAGTAAATACAGCTATACATCATCGTATTTAAGATAAGCCCTGATTTCTAAGTCCGCAAGTTTAATGTTTGAAGGGAGCTTGTTCCATATTTTTCGAAAATAAATACTGAAAAAGTCAATTGAATTAATTGACCCAAACTACTGTTATCATTTGCGCAACATAGTGAAGCTGAGCCCTCCACTAAGCTAACAGGATGCAGGAAAGTGTTCATGCTTTTATTTTATGTTGTCTATGTAACACTGTAACACTCTTTATACTGGCCGAACAACAACAGTCATTGCAAAACTACAAACCTTCATTAGGCTGATGCCGGGTTTTTAACAAACTCAATGTAGTAGAATAACAAAAGTATCACTGTAATAGTAGCAGCTGTCAAAGGTATTGAGCAATGTTACACAACAACAAACACTGCTGAATCAAAATAAACTGTAGGAAACTGTCCCTGTGACCCTAACACCAAAACAAACTGTAAGATGATAGGAGGAACATATCACTGTACCCACGAGACCTATATACCACATGAAGATATAGGATAGGAATAGAAGCAAATATGGGGCAATAAAAGAAGACCACAAACACAGTCAGGGTTTGTATTGTTGACTTGTACTGAGTACTTGCTTGAGTATTGATTAACCCCGTTCAACTGCACCTGAATCCATCTGACCAGTTTCTTCCAGATCTGAGAGTGGTGTTGATCTAAAATGAGAGATCTATACCTCTAAACTTTCGGACAACCCACTCTGGCCCCCTGTGTCTTTTAGAATTTATTTTAGTTCATTTCTTAGTTTATTAGAACACTAAATGGCTTTTCCCCCTTTTATCTCCCAGGCTCCCTATCGTTTTATGATCCTCCAGAAACCCTCAGATCCTCCACAGCTGCTCTTGTAATTGTCCCTGAGGTCACCACAAAAACATTTGGGGATACCCACTTAAGTAGTTAGTCTCTTTCTGACTCAGTGGACAGTTTTAAATAACCATTCAAAAACACATCATTTTAATATAGTCATTTATCTTGAAGCTATCTTGAGTAATCCTTGAATTCTTTTTTTTTTTTTTTTAAAGGAAAATGGATGTGTAAAGATTTTAAACATGTGTTTTTTGAACTGATAAAGAAACACAAGAGAGAAACAGTAGCCCTCTACAGTGAACTACAGGCAGTCTATTGTTTTTCTTCTAAAGAATAGATTGTTGAGTCCAGAAATAAAATTGTAAAATCGTATTTAAAGGGGACCTATCATGCAAAATGCACTTTTGTACGTCTTTTATACATGAATATGTGTCCCCGGTGTTCCAGGGAACTCACCAATACCCCTTTCACACCAACGGTGTTTCAGGGCCGGTTCGGTGCTGGTGCTTGAAAAGCACCGGGTTTTCCTGTTCACACCGCAGCGGAGCAGCGTCATAGCTCCGGAATCCGGTTCGTTTCGAGCACCAAAAAGTTGTCCGTCTAGAAGCAAGAACCGCATACGTCACGCTTACGTCGGAGGGGGGCGAGATTAACCTGAGCTAACACTTAAGGCGAGTACGGCAAATAAAAGTTGTAACAAGCAGTAGTGCTGAGCAAAGTGACTAGAACGCAACCACACACTTGTTAAAAAAAACACACTTTATAAAGTCAGGCAACACTAACCAGGCTTCGTGTGATTCTGTTTATTTGTACCTTACTTTGACCATCCGTTCGCTGTTATTGATCATTGTGGAGAGCAGGCAGACGTTTGTTATTATAGCAGCTATCGGATGGAATCAATACATGGGCTGCACAGGTTGTCATGTCCGACTATCACAAGTAGAATCATAATGAAAAATACGTCGGTAAAAAGTGCCTGTAGAAAACTGCTTAGCAAGTAGTCAGTTTAGCTTCGGTTGCTATGCTAACATCACCCATGTTATACCAGAGAAACTTTCATAACAGCGTTGTGATGCCAAACAGCGTCAATTCAGACTGACACCAAACAGCGTCAATTCAGACTGACACACATTCACTTAAGGGGAACTGGGGATATGTATTAGCTGCTTGTGTGACAGTCAGACAGTGAATACTTTAGAGCCGTGTGAGCTAACCCGGAGCTAACGGGAGAATACACTCCCGTTGAAGAGCAGCCGGCCAGCACTGCAGCGGTCGGTAAATGCCGCTGAAACACATTAATAAACAATGAACCACGGCACTCTGGAGAAAAGTATAAGGTTGGAGAAGTCGTTATTTAATTTAATCTGGCTTCGTATGATTAAAAGCAACGCAGTCCCCGGCCCGTTGTTGTGAAGTGAGCTCCGGCGTTGGGGAGAAACTCAGCGACGTAAACTGTGACGTCATGACGCAGCAGCGGCAGCACCAGTCGGGCTCTGAGCGGTGTGAAAAGAGCCGGCGCTAAACCGAAGAACCGGTTCTGAACCTGAAAAGCTCTAGCACGGAGCTTGAACCGGAGTTGCGTTGGTGTGAAAGGGGCACAAGTGTCAGAAAACACAACCCTCTCTCTTTTCCTCCATACCCAAATCTCTAAAAACGGGACTGCAACGGATCTGATACAGACTGATACAGATTTGAACATTCCTCTGACGTCAGGACGGCGGAGCTGACCTATCAGGGGAATGAGAGGTTGCCGTGGCATGGTAACAGCATGGTAACACGACGCTCGTAACTCGGCCCCCTCCTTTGCAGGGGGGCGTGGTCAGCTGCAGCGCATGCAAAGGTGGAGGAAAAGCAAAATAGAGCGAAATGAGGCATGGCTAAAATGCATGATCTGTTTGGTATTTTGAAAAAGAAAACGTATAAATATTAGGGCTGTCAAGTTAACGCGTTAATAACGCGTTAACGCAAAAAAAAATTAACACCACTAATTATTTTAACGTGATTAACGCATGTGTATTTTTTGTCCTCGGCCGCCGTAGTTTCAGAGCGCATCGAGTTTAAAATACCATCTACAAGCTGATGCTGACAGCCCCGCTCCTGCTGCCCGCTTGTGGCAGACCACACTTCCACGCTCACCGGCAGGCCCGGACTGGCCATCGGGAGGACCGGGAGGGTGTGTGTATGTGTGGCGCGAGCGAAGCACACCTTACGTGTTGTTGTTAGCATCTGGTGCTAGCTAGCTGAGCTAACGGATATAAGGAGCTGTTTCAATGAAAACAGAGGAGCGACATTTCGCCGACAACTGTGCCGAGCACTTGACTTTATGCAGGTAGCCAGACAGCACACTCAGCACGGATAGTGCCGCAACACAGCTCATACACACAGGCATATATGCCTTGAGCTGCACATAGCTCCAACGATCCGCCACATTTTCACACACACACACACACACACACACACACACACACACACACACACACACACACACCACACACACACACACACACACACACACACACACACACACACACACACACACACACACACACACACACACACACACACACACACACACACACACACACACACACACACCACACACACACACACACACACACACACACACACACACACACACACACACACACACACACACACACACACACACACACACACACACCACACACACACACACACACACACACACACACACACACACACACACACACACACACACACACACACACACACACACACACACACACACACACACACACACACACACACACACACACAGTATTGTATGAGAGAGGTTCTAGGTTGAATTGAGGCGAATATTTGTAATGTTCAGGTTGTTGTGTTTAATATTCATGAGAATATTTGTCATTGTTCAAATGATAATAAACAAACATATAAAGCATAGTTGTCCACTCATATGTTGATAAGAGTATTAAAAACTTGAAAAATATCCCTCTAAGGTACATTTAGAACAGATAAAAAATGTGCGATTAATTTGCGATTAATCGCGATTAACTATGGACAATCATGCGATTAATCGCGATTAAATATTTTAATCGACTGACAGCCCTAATAAATATACCTTATATAGGTATGGCCCTACAATATATTATTCAAATATAGCATGATAGGTCCACTTTAAGTTTGCGAGTTGATACGAATGTAACTGTTAATGTTTAAAGGGCATGTGATATTGCCTCATAGCGATCACAGGCTATCAATCAAAATCGTTTTTTGCAGACTCATGTTAGAAAATATCCTGATAGAACTCGTGATTTACCCCCCTAACATTTATCAGATTTTAATATAAAGCTTTGATTCTGTAGCCTAGTGAGATAAACCAAGTAGGTGTTTCTTTCATGCCATGGATAACATTTCAGAAATTAAAAAGAAAATCATCTCAGAGATAAACAGAATGCATGTTTTCTAAATCTCTGCTCTTTACAGCAGACTTCAATAATTGAAACTATGAATTTTAGGTTGAAGTCAGAAGGAGCATCATTAGAAATGTAGCAGGCTGATTGCTCTTCACTTTAGGCCCAACGCTAAAAGCCGAGTTCTGTGAGGAAAACACATTTATGGACTGAGATGCTTTGCTTCACTTAGCCCGTAATGACAGTGCTGAATAATGAATGTCGGGAGAGTCACCCATCACAGACCTTCAGTAATTAGGTTCATCACGAGCGGGAAGAGCAGTCTGAAAACTCCCTCTCTTCTCTCACACCTCGCTCAGTATCACTGGAGACAGGCTGCTGTTGCATTCAGGTGTGTACTCACTATGACTCCTGGGTAGTAGCCGCCCACTGTGATGTTCTGCGTCCTAGTGGTCGCTGCCAGGCCGAAGATGAGGATGAGCACAGACACAATGAGCAGCAACACCGTCACTATTATGGATTTCCTCTTCCTCCTCTTAAAGGTACCTAAAGACGACACATTAGCAAACATTACTGCTGTGAGAAATGAGATGATGAGAAATTCATAAATCAAGCTGCAATAGAAAGTAGTTAAAGACTATAGTCGTAATTCTGTTAAAGAGGCCCTATATTGTGCTTTTTGGGGTTTTCCCTTTTCCTCTAGTGTATTTTATAGGTTTTTTAGCATGTAAATGGTCTGCAAAGGCTAAAACCCCAAAGTTCCCTCCCTGCCTGAAACGCCTCATTATACTCCTTTGTTTACATCCATAACATAGTGATATCACTTTGTTACACTTGCATTTCTATTGGCTAGCTCTCCATCACATTGTACGTGATAGGCTAAGGGGCGGGAACATCTCTAAGCTGTTGACCAATCACAACAGAGCCGGCCAGCTAACCAATCATAGCAGACTGGGCTCTGGTTTCAGACAGAGGGTGAAAAGAGGTGCTGCAGCACAGGCAGTATGAGAAAAATAAAGAGCTTTTTGAACATTAAAGCATGTAAACATGTCACAGTAGAGACACACAATACACATTTGAACCTGAACATTAGCATAATAGGGCAGGGCATCTTGGTATATGCTGCTTTTTTGCAAAAAGGCAAATGTATACACTATGTATATCTTTTAGGGAAAGACTAAACAAATCTGCATCATGTGAAAACACTTACTTTATTATTTAACATTAGCAATTTATTGTAATCACTCAGTGTCTCAAACAGCCTGTGAGAGATATAACGAGGGGTTACGTATGGTAACCCTTGTTATATAAACACAGGCGGAGCCCTCTACTCAGGGGCCCTGTCTGTCCTATGCTGCTTGCTGAAGAGAAGTAAAGGATGACAGTAAGGAGGCGAGGCCTCCTTTTATGCGGTGAGATGCGCGCGCATTCAGGTATGCCCGCCCCGGGGCCGGCTACGTCTAGAAAGTCTCAGTGGATGAATGCTTGCATGATAGGATCGAGGGGAAGTACCCATAGAGTCCAGTAGAGGGCTCTGCCTGTGTTTATATAACAAGGGTTACTATACGTAACCCCTCGTTACATGTGCTCGTATTAAGTCAGTTTTTTGGAAAGTCAAAATAAGAGTGAATACTTTTAGGGGCCTCATTTACATAAGAACGGTTTCAAATCCAACAAAAAAGCATCGAGCAAATATCAAATACTATACCCAGTGTGAGAGGTTTGCAAGTCAGAAGTAAAAGAACCACAACATATTGAATATGCATATTAAACTACAAAGACAACCATTCAAGGGTTGATAAGCCTCGACAAATGTACTTCTTTTAAAACCACTGAACCTCAAACTCCTGTATAATGTTATTTCATCAGAGAGCTGCAGGATATCATCTCTGACAATATTCAAGTCAGAGTCAAAGATTACAAACTGTAGAGAGGGGGAAGGGAGTGGCCCCTCATTGCAGTCTTTTTAATGACTTTACTGATGCATTTGTTTTAGCAGATTCTGTAGAGTAAGGTCCCACTGATTATCTATTGCATGTATTTTCACCACTTCCTGTTTAACTAAAATCACTGCGCAGGGAAAGCGAATGACTTCAGTCAGGTTTTTCTCCCCAGGGTGCCGGCATAACAACAACTTCCGGAATTTAATGATCTAGAAATGTATGGATGATTTTGCCAGGTTGGGATTTAAATGACAATAACAATTATAATGTAAATAATATTTCCTACTGCATGGTTCATTTCCTGCTCTCAAATTCTAGATTACAGTTAATTGAAAGAACCCATTTGGCTGTTTTGCATTAGTGAAATTAAATTGTGTTTATGTGTTTCCATGATATCACATTTCTTTCCACATCATCCAAACCTTGCTTTGAAGTCAAATGTCATATGTAATGAAACCACTTTGAAACTGCATATACTATCTGATTGTCAATATTAGTTTGAAACAAAAACATTATTGATCTGGCTCTTACTCAAAAGCATGACTTTGCTTATTACTTTAGGAGTTCTAACTGAGACCAGAGGCCTCAACATACAAGTACAGTGTCTGGTACTAAGTTATGATTTGAAGCAAATACTACTCATGTAAGTAGGATATCTTCTGTTTAATAAATTACTCAAATCATTGTATTATAGTAGATCTTTGGAAAACACCCCATGCAACAGATTTCATATGGTCTGTGTGAAATTATCTGTTCAATATTATTACACCACCAACACATCTATGTCTCTCCAGTACAGTAATGCAAATTACTACATACCTTTCTCAATAATTGTTGTACAAGGAAGTGTTATACGGGAGACATCTTCTGCCAGTAAATAAAAAAATAGAAAAACATAGCTTTCTGTGAAGAAAAAAGATCTTGTAAGACCTTAAAATAATGTGATGGATCTCAAAATAATAAGAAACGTTCTCAATATAACAAGTGTGTAGTTATTATTTCAAACACGTTATTTTAGAAACTTATCTGATCCTTTTTTTGCAATACCAAGTCATTATTTTGAGAAACTAAGTCATTAATTTGAGATACTTTAAAGAAGGTTGCTCATTATAAAGACTTATATTTTGATAACATTGACTGAAATGGTTTTCCATAGGCTGGAAAAGCAAAACATGGATGTTGCTGCAATTAGCTGTGTAGTAGACTGACCCAAACAATCAACGATATTCTACGTAGTCACTGATCACCTGCCATGGACTGCAATAGAAATGTTTAAAATAGGATTTTCCTCTACACAACTAGACCATTTTATACCGTTAATGTTAATGGTGTTAGCCTCACACCATGCTATGGTCTGTCAGGCAGTCTCAGGCTTCTGTGGTTTCTCAACGTCGCCGCACCTGCAGTGACGTGCTGCGGCCTGGACTTAAAAAACAACAGACTGTCTGGTGATGCAACGAGTGTTCTGTGAAAATAAAAACATGCCTTTAGTGTTTCTTACCAAGAAAACACAACAAATAAGGGTGGTCTAAAAAGTGAGTAGGCACAATTAAGTGAACCTTTCAGCATTGAGTGAAACCTCCGCATTGTGGCATTACCGAGTATATTATTTAATTGATAAAAACCTGCTGCGGCTGACCTTGCACACACACCTACCTACCTATGCTGGTTTCAGAGAGGGGCATGCTGCTGGACTGGAGGCTCTGAGCAGAAGGCATGCTGGCTGGAGGATGTTTAACGCAGGATGATCCCCTTGCAAAAAAAAAAAAAAATAGACAATCACGACTCACTGCTGCTCGCTTTATATTTTACAGCAAGCTGAGTACAATGGTGAGCTAACGCAGGCAGCGTGTTGGCTTGCTGTGGCATTCTCTGTGTCAACCCTCCGTCTCCTCCGAGCCTCTCTCTGTCACATCCCCGCCGCTGAGAGGCGTCTGTCGGTCTCTATGCTCTCGGTGAGTCGGTGTCCTGACGGTGGGTCTCTGCTGCTGCTGGCTGTGTGTGCGCATGTCACACACATACCCCACTCTCTACAGAAGAAAAATACCTCACTGGCGTTACTTGAAGTAGGCCTACCAGAGTGTCGGCGTACTCTGGTACAAGTAAAAGTAGTACTGTAATCACAATTACTCAAGTAAAAAAGTAATAGCATCAAAATATACTTTAAGTACAAATAGTAAAAGTAGCCTACTCATTATTCAGATTCAGAATAATTTATATCATATATCAGTACAATTCTGAGATACTTTACTGGATTAGTAATATTAAATATGATCAACACTTAAATAAGACTTTAGTTACACCTGTAGTAACATTCACCAGCAACTCTGCAGTATAAATTAATTAAAACTTGACCAGCTTGATAAATAATAATAATAACAATGCATTAATAGGCCTAATTATAAACAGAACATATAATGTATTATTCTGAAATGGATCAATCTGCATAATGAGTAGGCTACTTTTACTTTTGGTAGGCTACTTTACGTATAATTAGATGACAATACTTTTGTACTTTTGCTTGTGTAATATTTTGATTGCAGGACTTTTACTTGTAACAGAGTATTCCTACTCTGGTACTTCTACTTTGACTTAAGTACAAGATCTGAGTACTTCCCTTTATAGCATGAATGGTCACCACCAGACGGTAAATCACTGACAGCAGGGGTGAATTCGACGTGACAGCATTCTTTACATCACACGTCAAATAAATCATTTGGATTGTGTTTAAATTCTTTCATACTGCTGTGTGTACCACATATATTTGGAGTTCCTGTAATGGTGTGTGAGAAAGTAAAAGTTGGAGCTCAGGCTGAGCCTCTAGCGCCATCGTCTGGCAGAAATACTACATTGTGATCAAGATAATCAGAATACCTTCATTAGTCCCATAGAGGGGACATTTACATTGTTACAGCAAAAGTATAATGACAAAATATTAAATAAGATGCATGCATATAATATTAAAGATAGGAAGTACACAAATTACAATTTACAATAGTACCAGTAAAAGTATTTTTTGGAAAAAACAAGTGTAACATGTTTAAAATAGTGTGATAGCAGCCAGATAGCAAGTCAAAATTGTACAGTTATTACATATTTTGTTGAAGTAGTTAAATAGTCTAACTAAGAGAGAGCAGCCAAGAGCAAAGAGACATTCAGGGAGCAGCACATTCATCATCTAACAAAGTGACTGTATGCTGCTTTCAGGTACGCCTCTTAGTGTTAACCCTTTCTTCATTACCTTTGTTGAAATGTAACAGTCACATTGAAAAGGCTGTTGCATCTCGATGCATTTAGGAGAATTTGGACCTTTTAGCTATCAATTCAAAAGGGTTTCAAACCACCTTTAGGGCTTCATTTTGGGAATCTAACATGAAATAATAATTTCTATATCAAATATGATTTATTGTATCAAGGAAAGACTTGGGCACATTATATTGTTCTAAAATCTAGATAAAGCACAGTCACTTTTTTGGGATTAGTAAAAACATTGAAATTTACGTTGCACATTTCACTGTCCTCATTCTGCTGCTGTAGTACACGCAGTTGCCTGATTTTAAATGTCATTAAAATACAAATGCAAACATACACAATGTCATTTTGCTTAACATGCACAAATGTAATTCATATGGCAGGAATACTTTTCAACATCATAATCATCAAACCTTTACTTGCCAAAACATGCAGGCAAAGACTTGATGAAACACAGTAAATCAAGAAAGGTAAAGGTAAAATGTTAATTCAAAAAAGTTTATATACAATTCTTAAATAGTTTAGAATTATTTTAAAATGCTTTGTTTGAGGGAGAAGTTTGTTCAGAGGCAACAGAAAGTTGTGGGGGTTTTCAGGCCGACCATTAGGCCAGCATCTCATTCATCCCTGGGGCCCTCTAGCAGGTTAACCCATGGAGCTCGCCCTGCACAAATGCGTATAATTCTTTAAGGGACAATGCATGTAATATATAATTCAAGACACTTTAAATGGCATACAACAACTAGAAGAATAAGATAATTCCTCTGCATGGACCGATGCATGAAATGAAGTCGTTCTAGGCTTTCTCTGCAAAATGTTTTGGGGACTTTTGCTTATCAGCAAATGTCCTTATTTGGTTGAGACGAATCATTGGCCTTCACTGTAAATGCGCACACACACACACTAACACATACACATACACATACACATACACACACACACACACACACACACACACACACACACACACACACACACACACACACACACACACACACACACACACACACACACACACACACACACACACACACAAGAACATTTGCACGTTTTTGCCGCGCGGATCTCAAAGAACAGCTTTTTTTCCATGACGCAATTTCTCTTTTCATTTAAAGAGGAAGAAAAAAAGTCCCCCTCTCACACTTTTTTAGATGGGGGTAACAGCATGTTACGTGACCGGCGTGCAGAAAGGATCAGGGAAGAGGACAACTTGAACTTCCCCAGAGGGAGCTTATGGTAAGCAGTTTCTGCAGCAGAGTATGGAGCTGCAGGTGTTTGCAACTGTGTCAGTATGCATGCATGCGAAGAGATGATCACTGATATTCACATTATGGTTATCTTCTTTCATGTAAAGCACATGCCCCTCAATAAAAATGTGTAATACACAACTTAATAAACACGTGAACTGTCCTTTTTATCGGTACAGTAGTCCTTGCAGCCAGGCCATGATTGACAACATGTGTCTTATGTTAGAATAAGCCATAAATATTGTATTCAGGCTTTGCTTCAGTTTAGCCCAGTTTAGCAGACAATGGCTGATGGTGTGCGTGTTCTGAATGCAATGCTGTGTCCCGGATCAATGCCAAAACGTCTCTAGGTCCAAAAAAAAGCACTTTGTACCCCACCCCCAGTTTTCTCTATCCTGCGTTCATTCACTACGATGCGCGCTTAGTTGCAGGAGGTTCTCCATAACTGGTCCCCTGTGCAAGCCTAAAACTTTCTAATGAAATCCCCAATTACTTTTTGACAAACATTGTTTTTTCTCTCGGGGTGAGGAGGGCTTCCGACGTATTAAGAAGCGTTGCTTTTGCCAAGAAAACTTCAGGTATGTCTGAATAATTTTTCATCAACATTTTAATTTTACTGAAATACATATTCATTGTGTCTGATTGCAGATTAAGTCAGATAACCTGGGAGTGTGGTGAAAAGTTCTGCAAGTGTTGAACTGTGGAAGTTCGCAGATGTAAAGGTGTGTCGCTCTAAGTGAAGGGTATTGGAGATGTGATTGGTTTAACAAGTGCTTTTTCCTCCTGAAGAACATGGAGCCCAGTTCCACAGAGGGAGGAGCTGAAGAGACGCTCCTTAAAAATCATCCACCAGGTCTTGTAAGTGCTTACATTAAAATGTAAAATGTATAAATTAATAATCATTTTATTCACTGAATGCAGTAATTAAGGAAACTTTCCCACTAGCACTGAAGTTGTTTTATCTAACTGCCAATATAACAGCAAAGTTATTATTAACTCATTAATCTATTGGCACGAGATTCAAAGCATAGCAGCAAAAAATAACAATTTATTATTTTAAAAGCCAAATTCTCACGAATGAAGTGACTTTTCCGTGACTCTCTGAAGCGTCCCGTGGTTCCTCTGGGATCTGTCTGTCCTGGCCTGTGGATTCTGAGAGTCAGTGAGTAACATCTGGCTGTCAGAGTGACCCTCCAGATCTGCTGTCTGCAGCTGCTGCTCCAAGCAGGAGGGTCCACTCAGAGGAGGTCAGATCTCCCAACGAGAGCCAGAGGGGTCACCAGCGGGTTTATAATTTGCAGAAACAGGGGACAGGACGGTCAGTGTGAAGTTCATTAATATGCAGAGCACTCTCTGGCAGGTTATATCGTCGGTCATACTCGGATCAGAAGGCATGCCATTTTTTTCCTGCAGTGATTTGAAAAGAAAATAGGTTGGCTGCAGAACTTAGCAGTTGTGAAATATGTGTGGTGAGGGCTTTTTCTCTCCTTCTTCTTTCCACCAGCCTCACAAAGTGATACTCAAACATGGCCAAGAGCTGGAGGAAGAGCAGGAGGAGTTGGCCGAGCACAAGCCTCTAGAGCAGGAAGACCTGAACTTTGAGAAATGGAAGCGCAGGCCGTTACCCAAGAGGACGCTCCACCAGAAAATAGAAGCCATCAAGACGTACCTGTGGAATGCAGAGACCAGCGAATTCATGGGTCGCTCTGGGAAGAGCTGGGGTGAGTTGATGATTAAGAAGATTTATGTTGTTGGAAATGAAGGGGGGGGGGGGGGGGGGGGGGGGGGTGTTTGATTGATGCAAAGATTCCTTTTTGTTTTACTGCATGTGTCCAATAATTACAGATCTAATTTGAAATGCTTTAATAGTCTCAATAATAGCAGACATGGTGTTTGAATCTCTTTAAAAGATGCACTCAGGATTAGTTTAATGTCTCTGCAGTCTAGTGACTCTGCTCACTGTGCTGCGAGTGTGTGTGTGTCCTTATGCTCAATGTTTACATAGGTGCATGGACAATTCAGTGTGGCCCGACAAAAACAGACTGCCTGGGGACGTTTTCCCAGCGGGAGCTCACTGTCCCGGGCCTCGCATTGGCCGGGAATCACATTCCTCTACATCTTACCATGCTCTCCACAGCCTCTTTCCCAAAGCCTCGGCGACCTCATAGCTGAACTTAGGGGTATGGCCCCTGAGTTGCAGTGAAACAGATGCTCTTCTTTTCCTATCTATACAGCTTACTGCCAAATTGAGCTTTGGCTAACTTGATCTGGCAGTAAACGACAGAATAGACAAGTTTGTTGAGTCAATGATGATGGAGCAGCCTCTTGGTATTCACTGCCATGTGACGCTGCTGAGCCCCTTCCTCCCCCAGCCAGTCAAACATGATCCAACTCAGTGTAGAAAGAATACCCAAGGAAAGTGTGTGTCCCTTGCATAAGCTGAAATTGATGGATCCTAGGG